AAAAAAAAGTAAAAGTTGCAGCACTCTGTGGCGCCTAGCTAACGCGATATGCAATCTAATTATCACTGCAACGTGTACGGTGCAAATGCCGTTCAAGCAGAATCAAAAAATTTCCACAGCTGTTTGCTGATTACATTCAAATGTTCGGGAGACATCAATTTTAAAAGAAAACTTCAAAAAGTATGTAAATTCATTTGTATCTCCTTATTCCTCTGCCGGTCCAATAGTATTCCGGTTGCTACTAAACAAAAGAAAGAGATTAATTTTAAAAACAATTCCAACTTCAGAGAAATTAAGTTTATGTTACGTTGTTGTTAACGACGCCTCTTAATTATAAAACAGTGAGCAAAATGTTAAAATAAACCCTGTCAGAAAACTTTCGTCTCTGTTGTATACACTGTATACTAATATTTATTCAATTTATTTGTTTTTTTTTTTGCCCGTCATGTCTTCGCCTTGCAGAATAATCAAACTAATGGATGATGAGATGTACTGTTCTCACTTTAAGCAATCACAATGACGACCCAATTCACAGAGCAGTATCCATCAAGAACAATAACAACAAAAAGAATAACAAAACAAGAGCCTCTTTTACACTTTTCATACGCAGACGTCCAAAAATTACTTCAAGTAAAATTCTGATCAACTCCATTTGGTGCTTGGATACTTCGCAACAAAAGCAACGTAGAAGTCACCGCTCGTGATCAAATCCTTAGTAAAAGTCCTATCACAAAGTCCACCACTAAACTCTTTGTAAATCGGCATACTTATTGACCAATCATTTCGTCCACTGTTTTATCCAATATTTGCAAAGTCTGTAATAGTGAACGTTGCTTCCAAAATCAAATATGTGTTTTAGTACGAGGGAAATATATGTAACATTCAGTAACAGTTCCAATAAAACTTGAATAAACTACAGCAAAAGATGCCTTCAAAATAGTTTTTTTTTCTGTGTTCGCATTGATCTAAATTTATTAAGAAGCAATTTTCAGTCAAAAAACAATCAACAAGTTCTGATATATTGAGAATCCTTGTAAAAAAATCCATTTTAAAACAAAAAGAGGCAATTTTAAAAACACTGCTGGGAATATTGACTATTTGCGGGCATTCATCTGAACCACCCAAAATTGACGTCAATATTGAACTTTTAATGCATTTAAGTGAACAAGTAAACTTAGAACGCCCACATTAACCACTTTAATCAAAAAGCTTTGAACCAAAACTATCAAAAAAACTATTTACCAGAGACTTCGAAAATTGCTGTTACAGAGCACCAATTTCTTTAGCTCCCCTTTATATTCTTTTTTCATTTTGAAATATTTTGTAATTTTATGTGTAGTTCAGT